TCCGCAGATGCAAACTGCCGGCGAATTGTTCGACTTCCTATCGATGCAGAGGACATGGTTGACATTGTAAGTAATTTGTGAAGAAAGTGTTTGAGAAGGAGGGTCACGTTTTTGGACAAATGACTATTTTCACTCCAAACCCAAGCATATATAGTGGAGTGAAACCACAAAGAACGAGAAACTTCCTTTGTTTAGGCGCCAGTTTTCCACCATGGGCCCCATTTTATATATGGTACCCTCTGGTTCATAAAATGTACCACTCTGTGTACAATGATACAATCAACATGTGAAAATGTACCATTGTACTAAGGCCTTTACAAATTTCATTGTCATTAGGTTAACGAAGTAAGTGGTAAGTCCAATTTCTTAAGGAGGACTACATAAAAAAAACACTGTTCATTACAGGGTGTAATTGGTTAAATCATTTAGCAATCGATAACAAGTAAGGCCATGAACGAACCAAGCAACAACTAAATAACTCAAACAAGTAACTAAATTCGTTAATGACGTAAATATCCCAAAGGTTGTGATTACGAATTTCAAGTACATGTAAGGGTTGTGCTTATGAAATCATTAAAAGATTACGAACTAGTTACTGAGGTAACCTGTAGTATTCATGCATGTAGGTCTTATTAAAAAAATGTTAGTGAAACCGAAGATTGTCATTAATTAATGTCCTACAATGTACTACTATCAACGTAAATCTCCCAAAGGTTGTGATTAACAAATCATTAAAATATTATGAATTAGTTAATGAGGTCAACTCTAGTAATTAGTTATTTGTACCAAAGATATTAGTGAAACCTACTAAGAAGGATATTAGTGAAACCTACTAAGAAGGATATTAGTGATATCACAAAATTGTGATTAAACAATGTCCACCTACGACGATTTTGTACCACCCTGAACAAGAAACACGCCTTTTCCTTTTCAGTGGTTCTTTCTGTTTAGGGTAAAATTACCCATGACAAATGGACCAATCCGGACCTGCCACGTGTCCACCACATGGGCCAATCAGCGTCCGCCACTTGTCACCCTAAGAGGTCCAACATGGACTAATCAGGTCACATCATGTGGCCCATTATTCGCCAACCTGGAAAACGGCCATCGCAGGCCCAATTCCCGAGGCAAGCCCAATCAGTCCTAGGTTTTCCCAGAAAACCTAGTATTAGGCACGTACTTCGAGGCTATATAAACATGTCATTAGCCTCCATAAACAGGGGGAAAAACACTCTCACCTAGAGAAGTCTAAAAACATTGATCACTCCTCACCTAGAGGAACCAGATCTCCCACCTTTACTTTCCGCATTTATTACTCCTTAATCAAGTACTAACTTGACCGTCGGAGGCGGATCTCCAACCATCCGGAGCATCCGTTTGTTTTGCAGGTACAGGCGTCCGGTTCCAGTCTCGGAATTGTAACTCTCCCGCAGGACATCAGAAAACCCCGAAACACTTTCTATAAGGTCATTTGTACCACCCTGACTACAGTGGTACCCTCGATTAGATGACAACATGTACTCTGACCTTGAAACCCTACATATCCTAAATCATTTAACAATCGATAACGAGTAAGAACATGTCCAGCAACAAATGAATGACTCAAAGAACGAATTAAAGCAGATGGACGTATATATTATATTATAAAGTAACTGAATTAGTTGATGAGGTAAATATCCCAAAGGTCGTGATTACGAACTTAAGGTACATATAGGGGTTGTGATTACAACTTCTTGTATTCATACATGTACGTCTTTTTAATGAGGTAAACTCCAGTATTCATACATGTACGTTTTTTTAACAAAATATTGGTGAAGCAACAACATGTCATTAAATAATGTTCTATAGTGTCCTACTTTCAACGTAAATTTCCCAAAGGTTGTGATTAACAAATTCATTGACAGATTATGAATTGGTTAATGAGGTCAACTCTAGTAATTAGTTATTTGTGACCAAAGATATTAGTGAAGCCTAATAAGAAGGATACTAGTGATACCAAAATTGTGATTAAATAGTTTCCTCCTATGAAGGTTTTGTACCACCCTGAACGAGAAACATGCATTTTCCTTTTCAGTGGCTCTTTTTATAATGTTATTTGTACCACCCTGACTACAGTGGTACCCTAATTGTCTTAGTGGTACCCTCGAGTAGATGTATTGCATTTGGAACTTGAAACTTACTTAATGTATTATACTGAATTTAAGTTGCTTGAATTAGCACATTATTCAATTATTATTATCCCACACCAAAAATTGTAATTAGTAGAAAGTATACTTGACTTACAACTACAAACATAAAATCACACATATTCCAGTGGTACACTTATTGTTCGTGACTTGTACCATTAATTATTTTCTGCATGCGTTTAAATGACATATTGAAATGACGTGTGACGGAAATTGCAGTTCCCCAGATTTAGCGTGCCTAATTTCTTTAATCTCCCCCAGTAAATCATCATTTTTGCAAAAGATAGATAAATCATCTTGGGATCTTGATTAACCGTCATCATTACATCTCCCCCACTACATCCACTCATCCAGAATTTGAACCGTCATTTTACACTCCTCCATATATAAGGCAATTCACTAAGTAAGTTACTTATCTCAAAACATTTTCACAAATTAACAAAGAGTTAAAAGTAACTCCCCAGTGGTTGGAGCCATCATAGGTCTTTTTCCTTTTCAGTGGTTCTTTTTATGAGTTCATTTGTCCCACGCTGATTATAGTGGTACCCTAATTGTCTAAGTGGTACCTTCGATTAGATTAAAATGCCTACTCTAACCTTGAAACCCTACGTATCTTAAATCATTTAACAGTCGATGACGAGTAAGGACTTGAATCGTGATTAAAAATTGTGCTACGATGTCCTACTATGACCGTGAATTTCCCAAAAGTTGTGACTAACAAATCTCTAAAAGATTATGAATTGGTTACGGCAGTCAACTCTATTACATAGTTATTTGTACCAAAGATACATGTGAAACCCACTAAGAAGGATATTAGTGATACCAAAAAATGTGAGTATAAAATGTCCTCCGACGAAGGTTTTGTACCACCCTGCACAAGAAACATACCTTTTTCTTTTCAGTGGTCCTTTTTAGAATCCTGACTACAGTAGTACCCTAATTGTCTTAGATGTATTGCATTTGGAGCTTGAAGCCTACTTCATGTACTACACTGAAGTTTAGTTGTTCGAATTAGCAATTTTAGCATATTATTCAATTTTTGTTATCCCATACCTAAAATTGTAATCAGTATAACGTAAACTTCACTTACAAGTACAAACATAAAATCACACAAAGTTGGCTTGTAATAAGCACAAACATATTTCAGTGGTAAACTTATTGCTTAAGACATGTACCATTAATTATTATATGCATGCGTTGAAATGACGAATTGAAGTGAAGGGTCTGGGAAATGGCAGTTCCCAGATTATGCGTACCAGATTTATTTATCTCCCCCAGTAAATCATCATTTGCGCTTAACATTGATTAACCACCATCATTACATCTCCAACCCACTACATCCACTCCTTTGTAGAATGTGAACTGTCATTTTACAGTCTATATATAAGGCATTTCACTGACTAAGTTACTTATCTCAAACATTTTCAAAGATAAACAAAGATTTAAAAATAACTCACTTCCTTCTATTCCAAAAAACAAAGGTCAGATTCCATAAAAACGCAAAAAAAAAACATGGATGAAGTAGCGAAAAGGCGAAAAATTTCAACTTCCATGGTTGACATCCTTCCGTCGGAAGTGTTAGCGACCATTCTGTGTTGCGTTGCTAAGTCATCTCCTACAGATTTATTTCGGTGCAAATTAAGGTAGGATTTCATTTTACTTATAATTTGTACTCTGTTTCTCATCCCCCTATACACAAAGATTTTAATAATGTAATTTCTGGCATATGACATGATAAAAGTTGCAAGACCCTGCGAAGGATAGCCGAAGAAAAAAGGGTCCTTCAACTAATTCACCTCCCTTGGATTGAAACATGAAGATGGTCACACCGAGAAAAGGCAGACTCATTCTTCATGAAGTGCGTGGAGAATGAACATCCTGAAGCTTTGCTTGAGTTTGGATTTGTAAGGCTTCTTTCTTATTACTTGACAATTTTATTCATTATAATATTAAAAAAACCTGTTGATAATTGTTAAAAATTTTCTATTTTACGTTACTGTAGCGACAATACTCCAACTATATGGTGGTAGACGAAGGGTTAAAGAGGTTGGAAAGAGCAACTGCATTGCAAAATATAGAGGCAACATACATAGTAAGCCTCATATATATATACATCGGAGAAGAAGAAAAAGGTGTTAAGCTTTTGGAGAACACTATTAACAGCATCGGATCTGCACGGATCGTCCAGTGCAGAAGGAAGTTACGTGACATGGTGATGTCAAATTGGATGAGAAATAAGTTCGTTGTAGATTATATGCCACAGCCGCAAATATTTTGCAAACAAAAACTACAGCACGAGAAGAACTTATCTGCATGGGCTGGTCTTTATGACGAGGATATTGAAAATACAATATCTTGTTTAACTTGTAAATGCGTTAGGGAAATAAGCGTATTTTATACAATAGTACATGGTCTACTCATCCGTCATGTATGAAAAATATTATCTGTATAATGACATTTCTTTTTTTAACTTGCATATTATGATTTGTTAAATTTGTGTTTCTGTTGTATATAATAATATGTTTTACAGTTCAGAACAACACACATAAACACAGTAGTTTACAATATTAGCTGTATTGTTCTCAGCTACTTCATAATCAAACAAACCTATATTAGTTTACGTTGTATCAAACGCAAAAATTCAGGACATATAAACAGAACAACAAGAATAAAAGTTTACAACAACAACAATAAAAGAATAGATCAATATGGATTTGAACTCTGACAACGTCTACTCTGACCTTCAAATCCTACATATGCTGAGAATGTACAACTCTGATTACAAGATCAATTTGCGAATCATAAGGTACACATTCACAAGAAACTATTCATGTAACCACCTCTATTTTCAACACATGAAGATAACTGCCCAATGGTACAGTTCATGCACGATAAATGTACCACTGCAACATGTTTAAACAACAAATACATTCCAATGCATTAATCAACCAGTTGAATCGATTACATTACAAGTGATTGGAACCTAATGTACCAGGAGTACCTAGTACACTTGCAAAAAAAACACCAGAATTTGTTCCCCTAACAGAAGTGAAGTACCCTAAGGAACCATCCACATCCCTCATTTGAATCCCTCCAACCGATCGTACATAGTCATTTGTTGACAATGACATACTGTTATGTGCCGCCACAGCTTGCTTTTTTGCTGCATTTTTCGCCCTAGCAGCCTTTTCTTTTCCCTTTTTCTCTGTGCTAGATGGATACCTCACGTTGGTTGTACGATAGGCCTTCTTCTTGGGCAGCGGTGGATCCTTAATCACTGTTGGGACGGATCCATCACAACTCTCCACAAACCCACTAACTGATGTATGGATTGTATTCCGCAACCCAGATGCATGTGTGGCTGGTGTATTTGTATAACCAGGCCCCTTGTTGAAAGCCACAGAAGAAGGCGTCCGAACAACACCTTGTATGCCATCATCCTCACCTTCGTTTTCATTATCCTTAGCTCCATGTTCCTGTCTTTTGGCAACCATTGCCAACACTTCATCGACTCTGAGGTCCATCAATTGCAACAAGTCTGCCACAGCCTCAACACCCTCCTTACAAGCTGAAGCCTTTGAGAAAATAGGTTCATACATCCCCATCAATTTGTGATATTTCCTGGCTTCATCGATTTTAAGTGGATCATGGTAAGCTACTTTCACTCGTGTGTGTTTCCTTTGAATATCCTTCCTACAACGACGTAGAATATACTTCTCGGGAACAATGGAAACACCACAATGGTCATACACAAAGATCATATGTCGACAAATGATTTCATGGCACTCAAAGTGTTTACAGTCACAACTTGCTTCATATGTATTACTGTAATAGCACATCCTATAGCATCTCCGAATCTTAGTCACAAATTCTTTCTTTGCATATATTGGCTTGATCCACACTCAGTCCTCAATAACAAACTCAACTTGATTCTCACCAACTTCATAGTCATCTAGGTGACGCGCGTACAACATCCTCTTGCACTCCCGCTGAACTTCTTTGAATGTAGCGTCCGTGTAACACTTCCGGAACACTTCCTCCGCTAGGAAATCGGTAGCTAAATGCTTGACGTACCGTATTGAGTTGGAGTCCGCAATTCTTTCTGACTCGGACCTTATCTGCATTGCATCGCATTATCGAAGCACAAATTCAAACAACGTTGTATGCTTGTCAACATAACCTTTGAAAAAGTGATTGAAACTTTCCGATCGTTAGGTCGTTTTCATCCCGGCCCAGAATAAATGCTTCAAATACGCTGGGATCCACATGTGCCTTTCCTCATACAGCCCTACATTTCAAAAAATTGCAATTACTGGCTTATCTAAAACCAAACAAACCGCATACATCTAAACTCCTATGAATGGTACATTCACTGTCTCCGAAATGTGCCAAAAATCAGAAAATTGGAAAAAAATAACATTCAGTATTACAAAAGTCTACCACTAAACCTGCTCCTACGTACTCTAAGTCAGAACTGAAACAGCTTCCAGTCCCCTGCACACAACCAGTTACACCACCTCTGCATACTCTAACAGAAATCACTAAACAATCACAAACAAAAAAAAAAACAAAAAACAAAACATATGGAAGTGTAGTACCTTTAAGCCAACTATTATCTCCTAGTTTGTAATAATCAATTGTGTCCGCCCAACGAACTACAAATTCATCAACATCTAAACTACCATAAATGATATTTTTAAACTCATCCTTTACAGCTTCATAGTCCTCATGCTTACCAACATACCTCCCAAACTTCTGAAGTATGTGCCATATGCACCACCTATGACAACTCTCAGGCATAGTCAAGTTTACAGCTTTCCTAATCACCGGATCTTAATCCATAAGGATTGAGATAGGAGCTTTACCCCCCCATGCAATGTATCCAAGTCCTCAACACCCACTCATACGTCTCCGCCGTCTCCCGAGAGATCAATGCACACCCAAACAAAATACTCTGCCCATGATGGTTCACACCGGTAAACACAGCAAATGGAAGGTGAAATTTGTTTGTCAAATACGTACTGTCAAAACACACAACATCTCCAAACTCCTCATACGTAGCTCTACTCCTCGCGTCTACCCACACAACATCTTGTAATGCGCCGTCCTTCCCAAACCAACATAGATGGAAAAAATTCTGATTGTCGCCACTCATTTTGTTGAAATATTCTATCATGCCATTTGCATCACCCTCAGTAAGCTCAAGTCTGGTTTTTTGAGCCACTGCATTCTCCAAGTCTCTGCGTAAATGTCATCTCCTCCACTCTATTACGCTCCCGAGCATAACAACTATACATTTGGGATACCTTCACCTTATACTTCTTCGCCATATGTACCTGCTTGACCAAGTGATTGTTTTTCACCATTAACTCGTGCTTCCGATACATCGCTACATCCTTTGACTTTCCCGGAGTAACAATGTGATCTTTGTGCTCCAAATTCAGCCTTCGAACAACCCAGTGCCCTTCCTCATTAACACTGGCATACAACTCAACTAGACACCCGCACTTTTTAGTCTTCCGTATTTTAACTGTCTCCTCATCTTGCAACAACCCTTCCTTAAGTACATAACAGTCACAAGTCCACTTAGCATTCCTTCTCTCCTTACAACACTTTCCCTTTTCCAATACCTTCTTCACATCCACCCACCCAGAAGCAACCCTCACTGTACCAAAACCCTTTTGCCTAGCATAACTCCAGAAATAGGTATCCAACTTATCCCAACTCCCAAATACCATGCCCAAAGTTGGGGGGTGGTACTTCATCTTCCTCACCAAATACAGTGTGCACCAATACCCTGCCTATCTTTGGTGTTATGAAAGAAGAACCTCCTGCCTCTGCCCCTTCATCTTCAACACCACCCTTAACTTCTACTTCCTCAAAATCTGACCCCTGTATTTCTCCCTCATCTCCTTCTCCCTCTTCATCCTCCTCCTCATCTCCTTCTGTAAATCCATCCCCACTCTCTAACCCCTCCTCATAAACATATACATCAACCTCACTATCTTCTCCAAGTGCCTCACCAACACCCACCTACAACACATATACATCCACAACTCAACTCAATATAGTGGATCATTATATCCCAACAACAACCAGCAATAACAAACAACACAACATAACAAAACAGTATAAAGAACAACATCACAACAATTATTATGCCCATTTTAAAGATACAAAATCTGACTTATCCCAAATTAAACCACTCATTTAATCACATTACAATACCCACATAACAATCACCATTCAAGCAATATACACAATAATTACTGAATAACACTACCAATTACACAATATAATTAATCAATTATAAACACTCAACATGTACTCATACTTACAACAATGTGTGTTACGGAGTCACAAACCCTAATCTCTTACCCAACCTTTAATTTTATATTTCATTAACAACCAACAAATTAACCAAACACATCTACCACAACGCAATAAATAAGACACTTACATTCTCAGAGTTGAATTACAACTCCCTTGCGCAACCACGTACGCCCGTCTTCGCCATCTTCCCGCAATGCTTCCGCTAAATCGACCCCCAATATGTCTGCCAGCCGCCGATTTCCCATTCTTATAATCTACTTCTTCATCAATTTATTGCAATTTCGACTTTACCATTGACGAAATAATGGATTTCAGCTGAGCATTTGTCATCGCCATTGAAGAGCTTCTTCCATTTTCCTTTCACTTTTTACTGACAACATTTGCTTTTGAAGGAGTCTTTTTCCCGCTTCAAATTTTCACTTCCCGTTATAATGTACTATACCGTTACACACTTGGCAGCTAAATGACCCACATGCATGTTACAAAGTTCCAACTAATTGCAATATTGCCATTTTATAGGTTTCTAAATCAATAGCTACTATGCGCTAGTAGTTATCCTACTCACTCTATCTTTATACACACTCACTTTGTTAAATACTTTGTATTCCGTATCTACAGTAACTAAGTCGAACATAAAAGAATGAAAGGAGTACTTCATATTTGTTTAGAATCAGTCTTTATTATAAGTATAATGCTCAATTTATTTCGTATAAAAATAAAAGGTGAGTAAAATTAAGAGAATAGAGGTATAACCTTACATGAATCATTACACGGTTACACCCTTTCTCAATCCTTAACTATGAGTAGTTATTATATTGATCAAATATATTTCAATAATTAAATTTAACCAATACTCCTTTATCTCTCTTTCTTGGTTTGTCTCACTTTCCTTTATACAATATTTTCAAAAGAATGTCTCATACCAACATTATATAAATGATTAGAAGCAACTCTAAATTATTATTACCATTCAAGTTAAATTTTATATTAAATTACCTTTAGATCAAGTCTGATCTAGTCGATCAGGTCATTTTATAACACCTCTAATCAATACGCTCACAATCACTATACATGATCCCATAAATTAACAAAACTCCTATCGGGACGAGAGAGTTTTATACTCGGGCATTTAAGCAAGTTGAGCGAATTCAGCTAAATCACACGCATGTGAAGCCATCTATCAGTGTTACAATAAGCCGCATTTGTAGAAAATCCTTGGGTCCTCTGTAGGGATAAGGGATGTACTCGGCTACTCGTGCGAACCTATCACAACAATTTATTAATTGCAACTACAATATAATCAATTTTTTTTTATATGAACTTCAAGAATGAATGACCGGATCTTTAATTATTATTTGAGAAAATATAGACGGACACAATGGGTGGGAATCCCAAAATATGGCAAATAAACTCCAAATGGAAAGGGGTTCTCCCTTTGAAAGATATTACTATCCTTATTTCTTTCTTATTGTCTTGTTTCATTTGTTATACAATTTCTGGTGCTTAATTGTGTCTTAAAAAACTATGCGGGTAGGATTCGGGTTGGATCATGTCAGATCATGCAGTATATTAGTTTAGGTTGAATCAAGTTTAGGTCAGTTCAATTATATTCAGGTTTAAATTAGCTCAATTCGGTCTTTTATGGATTTGTAGTAGATTATTTCAGGGTTGGGTAAGTTTTGGGTTAGTTGATTGGGTCATTAGTGGCTTTGGGTCATTGTCAGATTGGGGTTACATTTGGGTCAGGATAACAAATCGGTCATTTTTAAGTTCAGGTTTAGTACAAATTAGATTTGATACAACTTGTATGATAACATTAATTCCACACAGTGTTATTTGGAAAACGATTTATACTTAACAAAAAAAATTTAGAATTGGGCGTGTAATTATATAATGGCAAGGTTGTTGTACGTCTAAGTTGAATTCAAGTTGAGAAAAATAAAAGTCAAGTCATCATTGACAACTTGAGTTGAATTTGGGTAAAGTTAGTAGCATGTCAAATTGAATTTGGAGTTTCAATGGGTGAAGTTGGATTATATTTGGGTCATTCTCAAATCTGGGTCGATTCAGTACATTTCAAGTAATAATATGGTATTATATTCAGAACAACAAGGTCACGTCATGTTCAATTCAAATCTCGAATTCTCAGGTTAACTTAGTTCTTGGGTTGATATTAGGTTGAGTCATGATAGGATTCTACTAACCATTTTGGATTAGGGTTAATTTTCAAGTCAAGTCTACTTTTAACAGCTCTAGTCAACACGTTGTCCGGTTGAAACAAAAATCAATTTCGAAACAAACACTATTTAAAAAATAAAAAAAATAAAACCAACCAACCAACTTAGCTTATAGAGTTAAAGTTTAATTGAGATGAAGTTTTGAAAAATAATTCAAAAAAAAATAATGACTTATTTTAGTTAAAATCTCTATCATTATTAGCACCCCCATCCTCTAAAAAACTAATAATAATTAAAAAAAAAAAAAAATCATCGAGCGCTATTTGATC